ATATCCAATGTTTCTTAATCACTTTTGTTACATTCACTTTTATACTTCTGCTTTAATATTTGTTTGAGTATTTAACATCATGTGAGTGCATCTTTCGTTCCATCAAAATTGAGATAATGTTGTTCCAAATTTCTCCTTAAAAGTAAGATTTTTCTTTTTGCATGTTGTTTATGTTCCAAATCCTTGATATATTAAAAATTAAAAAACCCATGAATGTTCATTTCCAAAAATTTCAATTGACAACCATTGTGTGTTTTTCAATTTATATCTTTATAGTGACTTCATGTATTAACTCTTTATCATTTGAAGTGCATGTCCTTGATGTACAAACATGTTTTCTATTATTATTCCTGTATTAGTGCATGAATTGAATATATGTATGTTATCTTGCAAATGCAGTTCTTGTTGTTGTATTTGTGTCACATGTTATGAATCATTTTCATCTTGGATTTAATGGTGATATATTTTTTCTAAGCTAGGGACACGCGTGTGCAACATCAGGAGTTCTATTGTGATGTGATATGTAACACCCTTCTAAATCCACATATATTTCACATATAATTTACGAAGATAAATCAAATAAAATAACAAACAAGGGTGTCACATTGTCATAGCAACATCATAATAAAACATCCTACTCCGTAACACAGGTTTTTCGACAATTATAACTCAATTTCCTTTTCTGAATACCAACACAATAATGAAATACCCCGCAGTGGAATCTTAGTCTCAACATGGTTTTATTATAAAACTTCCAATATAACATTGTCATACTCCATTGTTCATAATTCAAGATTCAAAACAACTTAGACAATTAAATAACTTATAAATCATTCCAACAAAGGAACACAAAGTTCAAATAAAATGAGCCCAACCCCGATGTTACATATCAGAGCAAGACCCTCTTTGTTCAATATAAACAACTAATTAACGTACTCTGAAGCTATCCTCTAAGTTTCGATGAACTACTCCTAGTCACCTGCATGTTACCCACGTGGAGACAACATTCAAACAGAAAGGGTGAGTAACCACAAATCATTACAAAATATATACAAAATAGATATAGTAGTTACAATAAAAATCATCAAGATGTCCATATATCGTCATACATCACATATTATACTCACACTTTCACATCATTAATTTCTTCACAACTTTATTATATCATCAAATCAAGAATCATTACCAAAGCATCATTTGAGTCACAACATCATCAAGACATCATTTAATCAATAATCATATAATGACACATAGTATTCAATGCAACAACATTGAATCATGCATGTGGTACCAAACTTCATCGATGAACATCGGGTCATCACCCTCTAAAGGTCCCCACCATATGATCAATTTCCTCTTGGAACCGGAGCAGGTCATAAAACACCCTCAATCCATACAATAGGAGTGAGGCCATCACTAGACAAATGTACTAACATCACAAACGAACCAACATCGTAACATATGTCATGATGTATGATGCACAACACCAATAATAATTCGACCACAACTAGTTAACTGCATCATAATTCATGTAAGCATCATGATAACATCCTTCACATATCATGTATACATATAGTTATCATGCCCATCGCAACAACGTCAAATTCATCATTAAAACAAGACATTGTTAACACCTAAAACAAGCTTATTATTAACCTCATTTAACAAGTCATTATATCATACATCATATTTCATCAACACATATTCATATTAATTAGTCATCACCTAATTAACGAAAAAACACAGTATATCACTCATTTCATTCTACCAAATTATAGGTCATCGCGTTAGCTTTTAACTACGCGTCAAACGGAGTCTTAAAATTCAAGTTACGACACTTTTAAAGTTTTTGAAATAGTTCTGTTTCCTAAAGCTCACCCGCCGAAGCAGGGCCTTTTCCTGATGCTCTCCTGGCGAAATAAGAGCGACCAGGCTCGCTCCTCGCTCGCCCAGTGAAGCTGAGGCTCTTCCCTTATTTTCCAAGAGCATTTTCCCAAGTTCCCTCGCCTAGAGTCTCGCCCAGCGACGTTTGGGCGAAACCACTTTTCCCGGTGACATTTGTCTTGCCCGACGATGCGTGTGAAACAACAACTTCCTTATGCCATTTCTACACCAGACTATTCCTAATTCTCATACAATTTCAACACAGTACAGTCTCAGAACACATCAAATTCAACATGTTTTCAAAATACAACAACAACACAACATGATAGGCATCATACACATCAAAATCATCATATTCATCACAAATTCCTCATATTATCAAATTCATAAAAAAAACCAAAACACAATTCTACACATGCCTAAACCCCATATCAATCATAATAATAAGAATCACCGTCTTACCTTAGATTTTGTTAGCTATCGATTCTTCCTTTTGCATTATACGGCGACTCTCTATGTTCCTTGTGCCCTAGCCTTTTTCTCCGCTTCCTCTCAAGACACGACATAACAAATGAACACAAAAACCCTTTTTTTTTCTTGTTTAACCCTTGGGCCCTCTCTATGGTATTCCTCCTCTTCCCTCATTTAATCTCTTACAATTTACTACCTTGTCCTTATTGTTTCCTATACACCCTAACCTTTTTATTTTATTAATAATAATTCTAATTAATAATTATAACTAATTATACTAATTATCTAAATTATTAACATACCCAATATCACCTTAATTCTCACTAGTCCACACATGTCATCACAACGCACCACAATACATCACATAAATCGCAATAATTCATATATTCACCAATAATCACCAATATTCACAACAAATTAATTAAATAAATAATTAAATGATTAATCTAGATATTTTGGGTGATACATGTTACATAATTGTGATGCTAAAGAAGCAACTCAAGAAGTTTTCTTTTGCATATCATTCATTATTATTCAAGCATTGAATTACTTGTTTAATGATGTGTTTTGCTAGTTATTTATCAATTTTGCATCATTCCATATATATGGGAATATATAAATACATGCTCTTCTTTGCAAAAATGTCTCTGTTTAATATATTAGTATTTGCATTAAATTACGACACTTCTCACAATTTTCTATCTTTATTTTTGATGTTTTCAAAGGGGGATAAGCATATGCAATATGAAGTTGGGAAGCACAAAGTCAGGGGGAGCCTTCAATGAAGGCATGAAATGCAACTTCACAAGTTTTGTCATCATCAAAAAGAGGAAGTATATGAGTGCAACTTCACCATTAGATGTTTTGTATGATGTCAAAACTAGGAAAACTTAACATTTCTCTATATTGGACGATATCTTTGTGTCATTTGGTGCACCCTTTCATTAGAAGTATTAGGAAGCATTTAAAACAAGTTTGAAATTGGTAAAAAATATAAAAAATTGTTTTCTGCACAAAAGATAACAGCATGTGCCGGTACATCCGCTTTTCAAGTCGACATATGTAGTATAATATTGAAGCCTATAAACTTTGTTTGCATGTTCCAACACTTAGCCTTATTCAGGTTGGCACATGCTGCAAATTTTATACTCATGTGTCGGAACATTTCCTATTCAGGCTGGCACATATGTTAATGCTTGACATTTCATGTCGGCACATAACTCGTATGTGCTGGCACATACTATTGTTTAGGTCATAATTTTCATATTTTTTTAAATCCAAAGTTTCCCTCTTTGCCACCAAAATTCCACAACTATAAATACATCATACATGCTTCATTCTAACTTGATAAAACTATAAACACTTACCACTATTGCTCTTCATCTTCAACTTCCAACCTATGCATACACACTCATAAATTACACATAATCATTCTTTGTTGAGGTACCATGTAGACAAGGTTGATAACGTCCAATTAGGTTGGTGAGCATGACCGAATCGAGAATATTGGGTTGAGAGTTATGGGGTGTTTCATCAGAAAAAACCTAGAGTTTATCCTCCAAGATCTTAGATAGATTTGGGGGTTTTGTTCAAGACTTTGCTATAGTGGATTCGACCGAGTGAAATCTTTGAAGATTTGGTATCTTGCAAAGGAGTAGCGCGAGACTATGGATCATATTGAAAGCTCTTACGGTCAATAGTTCGCAATTAGATTCGATCGAGTGAAAGCTTTGGAGATTTGATATCTCGCAAAGGAGTAGCATGAGACGGTGAATCAATTGAATCTATTGTGTCTTGGTCTTGTTCAATATCAAAAGAAAGGGAAGAGGTTGAATCAACATCAAACGGTTAGGGTTTGTAGGGTTTCTCTTGGAACACTTCTCTTGTAATCAACTTTTTGCAAAATAAGATTGATATCTCATTTTCAATTAAAATTGGGGCACATGTAGCCATAACGAGGACATACTGGTGAACTTCCTAAACAAATCCATGTCTCTCTCTCTCTCTCTCTCATTCTTATTTACTTACTATATGCAATTTATTAAACTTGTTGTTTGATCAATCGATTTGTATATATTTTTTCTTTGATTGTTTATGTTTAAATTTCTTTGTTGATTAGTTTATAATCACTTTGATTGTAAGTTTTTTCTCACATCAACAAAACTCAAAAGAAAATTTGAAAGTTCAATCATGCGGTAAGTGTTTGATAAATTGTCAAGTTTTGTTTTATACACAATTTCATTGGAAATAAGTAACTGTTTTGATTTGTGATAAACAATTAATTGAGATATAATTGTGTTGATTGTTTTTATCACTATTTTAACTCCACACGGTTTTCACATATATGAGTTTTTAATAACAAGATTCGTTTAGACGATTGTTTTTATAATCTTAGGCCTCCGTAAAGGATGTTGAATCCCCTCATAAAGCCCAATTGTTTGTGTAGAGTTGTGAGAGGGCAACATTGACTCCTTTCTGTAATCTATTTAATTTGACTTGTTTTTCACACACTTTGACTTTTTTTTCACACACACTTAAATAACACACAAAATTTAAAAAGTCTTATTATTACAACCAAAGAGTAAATATTAAAAACGTGATAGATATTATTCCAGCTCAGTGTTAATCTTCTATCTTTCTTGTTTTCAACTAATTGGACCAAGATTATGACATACTTTTCGTCTCTGTTCTCCAATTTTTGACATCCACATAAAGCATAAGTGTCTGTCACAAAAATGTAACATTATTAAAAAATAGATAAAGGAAAAGCCAATAAAAACAATTGCGCATAAAAAAGAAACACCTCTTTATAGTCACAATTAATTAATATCGTCTACTATATATTCTTTTAAATATTTGTTAGCTTAATTACACCTCATTCGTAATATTCCATGGATAATGTAGGATTGTATATTTAACAATAATATATGTGTTATCTTGTGTATAAGTATTAGAAAAAGAAGAAGCCTTATTGTTGTTATACATATGTGCAAGTCAGAGAAGATCAATTGTTGTCAAAAACAACCCCTTGGTTAACTCTGAAAATCGTTCAAATTAAGTACTCTACAATATTATTAATTTATATGAAAGCCATGTTGGAAAAATCAATAATTTTATTTGGAGTATAATAAAACTCGATGACTAACCTTAGAAATTTATCATGACATAATATTATACTATTTGTTGCTTGTATGAGATGATATGCATATTAGAATTTTAAATATTTTTTTAATCTATGTGAACCATGATTGATTAGTCTTTTAATTTATTTGAGTTTGAGATATTTATTTTGCATTGTCTAAAATGCTTTCATAATATGGATAATTGATAACCTGCATGCAACTCTTAATTAATCAACAACAACACTTAAGTCTTATTTCACGATTATATTAATCAACAACTATAATCACTACGCTAAAAAAGACTTACGAAAGTGCTTTTTTTGGCCTTTAAAAGCGCTGTCTATAGTGGCGCTGCTATAGGTTTTAGCAGCGCTTTTTGCTTAATGAAAAGCGCTTTCGTAGGTCTACCTAATACAACACTTTTTCTAAAAAGCGCTATCTTAAGTAGGCTTTTGGCAGCGCTTTTTTATGAAGAAGCGTTTTCATAGGTCTACCTAAGGCAGCGTTTTTTTCTGGAAAAGCGCTCTCATAAGTTTTCTTTTAGCAGCGCTTTTTTTTGGAAAAGCGCTGTCTTAGGTAGGCTTTTAGCAACGATTTTTTCTGGAAAAGCGCTTTCATAGGTGGTCTTTTAGCAGCGCTTTTTCCTGGAAAAGCGCTGTCATATGTTTACCTTAGACAACGCTTTTTGTGAAAAGCGCTTTCATAGGTTACCTAAGGCAGCGTTTTTCTTGAAAAAGCGCTTTTATAGGGTGTTTTTTTTAGAGGTATAATTTATATAATTCATATACCTGCATTGTTTGCAGCATATTATTTATATAAACCAATTGCCATAACCTGTAATTCATAAACGGCGGTAATGCATTGTAATCCAAAATATATATACACCATTTTTGTACCTCAAAATATATAAAAACCATTGTTATCAGCATTGTAACTCAAAATCAGTCTTACAAAATCAACCCTGACAACAACTAAACCAATCCTAATGTATGAAATAAACACGGTCAATTATGTATTAAGGTCCTGGTCCTGCGAGGTTTGAACATAATAACACGGTCAATATGGTATTCCATGTACACATGTAACATATTCATAACACTTTTCACATAATAATGTATTCATACCTTATATGATTCTCTGCTCAATAAAATATTGACACAATTCCTCTTTGATTTCTTCCAACTGAAGTTTCATGTAATATGCACATTTGTATTCATCGAAGTACTACATAACAAAACATAATATGCATGATTTAGTTAAAAAGTAAAAAATTATATGAAATATCCGAGAAATAATAAAACAAATCCTAAGTTATAAATCCATACCGTGACTGGAATCTCTATTTGATTCAGTTGAAGGATTTCTTTGATAAACCGCATACGAAGTATCCGCAATCTATACCGTTTTGCTGTTGAGGACACTACATAGAATGTAACCTTGAAAACATCATCCCACGAGCCTGATAATAAGCAAAGAGAATAAATAGTGTCATGTCGTATTTCCAATGATAAGTTTTCGTAGAAAGATAATGAATATGGACCACGGTTACTTACCATGCTGTAGAATGTAACCTGTTGCTGCTGTTCCAAGCACACCAGCAAGTACTCCAGCGGTATTGGATAGACCGAGCAGTATCTCCTAAAAAAAAGAAATGAATATAGAAATCATATTTCTTTCCCTAAGGACAACAATTTAGCATAGTAAACCATCTTCTTGTTTTTGCATTCTTGTTCTGCATTTCAAATTATAATGAAACCACTTACAGAATATCGAGGGGCTATATCTTGATGGTTTGAATATAATCCAGACTGAGAGAATGCATTTGTTCCCTGTTCAAGCAGAATTTGAAACAGGTGAGGCGAGGAACATGTAAGGTCAATGGAATTAATGGATTAACCAACGCTAACTAATTTTAAATTATGTTATAGCGAGAGAGAAATTTATAGTTAGGCTGTCTTAAAAGAGGTTTCAAGACACAGTTGTAAAGAAAATTTAATTTTGTTGTTTAAGTTGTAGAATATGAAGCATCTGGTATGAACTAAAAACTAAGTAAAAGTTATAGAAGTGAACTCTGACTTAGGAACAATTGTTGTTAAATAGAAGCTATAACGATGCTATAGCGATAGAGAAGCAGAATTTGAACATATCACTATTGCTCCGCGATACCTATTGAAAACAAAATGTTGTCAAATAGCAGCTATAACATTGTTGTATAGTGAAGTTTGAATAAACCATTTTTTCTACTATTTGCAATTGACAGCACATTTTAGGAAAATAATTAGTAGTCACAGTTTCTCTAGAAAGATTTAAAGAGATGCACAACAACAGAATTTATGTTGGGATTATATGAAAATTCTTTATCAGAATAAGAAATGCATCAAATACAGAAGAAGCAAACTTGACTACAAGTCATACACAAAACAGCCATTACAGGAGAATGAATGTGGCTCAATTGAGTCAAGAAAAAAGCAGGACCTAGAAACCCAACTGTTTGCATTATCTGCAAAGGAAGTGTAGAACTATAGTGTGAATCGTGGTATTAAAATATTTTATGTGCCTCTAAATAAGTAAACACTAGTGCAGAAATGACTTTTTACATCGGTTTTGGATCCGATGTAAAGTCAAGTGATATAGTAAATCAGGGACTTTTTACATCGGTTCTGGGACCGATGTAAAAAGTCCCTTTTTTACATCGGTTATAATATCAGAACCGATGTAATAACCTGTTATTATGCACATTTTTTAAAAAATTGATCCAGTTTTTTACATTGGTTGGAAGTAATACCCGATGTAAAAAGTACCTTTTTTACATCGGTTATAATATATGAACCGATGTAAAAAACAATTATTATGCACATTTTTTAAAAAAATTGATCCAATTTTTTACATCGGTTGGAAGTAATACCCGATGTAAAAAGTCCCCAGTGACGCGACTTTTTACATCGGGTATTACTTCCAACCGATGTAAAAAGTCCCTTATTGAAAGTTTTTACATCAGTTTTACTAATAACCGATGTAAAATGTATGAAATTTTTTTGGAATAGATTATTTATTTTCTGGATTTCCCTATACAAATATAATTTGTACCCATTTTTTCATATTTTTCCAATATCAAACAGACTATATTTATGTCGCTATATAGATTTCATAGCTTTCCAACATCACATATATCATATTTAGGACGATGTTTTCATATTTTTCACAACAAACTTACAAATTGAACAATTGTATTGCAAACTTGTATTGTATTACAACATACAAACTTACAATTACAAATTCTTAACAAAATATAAAACAATATTCAACTATTTATAAGTCTTTTTCAAAACTTACAATTACATAATATTCACAAAATATACATATACTAAAATATTCAACTATTTCTAAGTTTCCAAACTTGAATTACCAATATAAAATCTTCGGTAGACAACACCAAAATCATATTGCCTGACAATAAATAATAACAATTAACATCAGCAAAAAAATCAAGAAACTCAACACATGAGCAAAAACCACATGTATTGTGCAAAAACCACAACTTATACAATTCTATAAAACTCACCAGCTAAACTTAAGTTCCATGTAAGTCAAAGAAACATTTTGCCCAACGAAGTCGCAAATCATACAAATCATCTGGTGTTAATTCTGTTGGGTCATCAAATACCTATAATATATAAATATAACAATATAGAGTTATTTTTTAAGTCGAAAAACAAAAAGTAAAGAACAAAGTAAAGTTATTTTTAGTACCTGCATCCAATTCTCGGTTATATTAGCAGAGACAATATCCAACATATTTTTCATCACATAGTATCCACAATCATTAGAGTTATGTTGTTGCCTTGTCTACAATTGAATGACATAATTAGTGAATATTTATCGTATATATTTAACTATAGAATTATAATTTACATCACACTTACATTGGGATGAAGCCATGTAGCCTTTTTTCTATTTCCATTTGCCATTTGATGAATCCCAAAAGAACTAATACAGAAAGATATAAACATCACATAACTAAATATACTCGCCAATGAAAAATCACATAACTATTAGTTGTCAATGAAAGTCACATGAAAGATAAACTTACTTTGTAATAATTTTCTTCGTGTTCTGGTCAATTTCCCGATGAAGTGAACAAAATACGACAACTAAATTGTCTCTTGGACACATGACTATTAATTGCCAATGTCTCCTGTACGTGTGTGTGGAAACAGAAAAGTCGCATAAAATATATATGTTATCAAAATCAAAATTAAATAACATAAAACACAATTTCATAAAAATTCTTACCCATGAATTAATGGTAGTAAGTGGCACGCTCTGTTTTCATCACGTAACTTTTCTAGCACGTAATTTTTAACATCTTCTTGAGATTTCGCTACATTATCATTATAAATACACCTAGCAGGGTCCATAAATCCATATAATTCTGAAACGGAATTCTCAAGACAAACACGATGAATATACCTGAATAGTTTTAAAATTAACATTAGAATCAAAGTGATGAGAGATATAACATATTAATAGAGATTGACTTTAATAAAACAATAAAATTTACTTACGTGCACCAAATTTGAAGAATAGACACGTCAAGCCAATGACCTAAACCCACCAATAACTCTCTGATACATTTAGCTGAAACATAAAAATTAGAGACACTCGCACAATGACTTAATTGTATTGCCAAATGGTTATCATCCAATTTCAAAACCATGAGTAACAATCTCTGAACATCATCAACTTCCACGTCTTTTGTGCTCTCTTTTGTGCTTCCCTTTGCAGCTGAACAACTTCCTTTTCCGCTTCCATCAATAATTTCCAATTTTTGAATGCATTTAATATCACCTGTGCTTTGTGATAAACCCATAGACTTAAGTGTCTCCATTAATGATTGCTGAAACATCTTACGCTCTTCAACCAACTTTTCTTCAAGTTCAGCTCTAAGTTTTGTTTCCAATATTGCAAGTTGTTCATTTACGTCGATATGTTGACTTTTTCTTCCAAAGTAAGTGCTTTGTTTATGGTGTTTTCCAACACCACGGACACGACCTCCATGCTCAGATGTTCCAATGGCTAATGATAAGATATCGTTACGTCCATCTGGAACAATTGCACCTTTTTCAGCTTCTTGAACAAGAGAATCCTACAAAATGCAAAAACATCAATTAATCAATCACAAATATAATTATACTTTGTAATAATTTTTCGTTGTTTACTTACAATTTTTTGGGCAACCTCTTGTGTAGATTTTGATGTGTATTCTCCTCCTTTCTTTTGTCGTGCTCTCTTCCATAACTCATGGCGTGATGGTGGAGATTGACTATCATTATCATCTAATGTGGAATTATCTCTCGATGATGACTTTTCTTTCATAATTTTCTCCTCAAGTAAGCGATACCCTCCACGAGACAATACATGTGGGTATAAATTCTTGGCCACATTATCCTTACCCTTCTGACTTTTTTCCTATTATAAACTCAAACAAATAATTAATCACTAAATATAATAAAAATGTTATGCACACAAAAATATATAACTCCTACTAACCTTAAATTCAGGGGTATCTCGAATCTTGAGAAACTCTTTCCAGGCGTCTTCTGTAATAAAGTTATACTTGACATATGGAGGAGGATCATTTTCTATGGGATGATGAATATATCTATCTGTGAGTTGTGTCTTAAAACCTCTCCATCGCTCTCCCGCATATTTAATCCATTCTTTCTTCAACCTATCATTCTTTTGATCTTTACATTCTGGAATAGTAAAATGAGCCTACAAATGTAGTATATGTCATATGTTGTTAATTAGTATATGATTATAAAATATAATAAAGTATTGTATTTAAAATACCTGAATATCAGTCCAAATAGCATCTTTTACGCCTTCATCTACTTCTTTCCAATCATTTTTCACAATGCTACAATACTGTCGAGCAAGAGACGCTATATAACTCTTGAAATTTGTAGCATTTTTACCAACACCAATACATTCATAGGTTCTTGCATTAAACTCGACCTTTATCTTTTCACCTGTTTGATGAACTTTGTCAATTCGTGTCATTAAAGTGGGACCTCTAACTCTTCTTTTATTGGGGTTTGAATCACCCATGTATCTGTTTACACAAAACAAAAATAATTAGAAATAATATTAAGCACAAAATAAAAACAATTAGAAATAAAATTAAGCACAAAATAAAAACAATTAGAAAATAAAGTAACGTGGAATTAACTTATACAAAAAATCTTACTAGTCCTCCCATATCCCTTCTTCATGGTCCATGCGAATAGCATGCACATCATCCCCTTCATTTTCTTCAGTGAATGTAGTCACATTTGTTGAGAAAGGATGAGTTTCAGAAATATCAAGGTTCTCATCATGATTTTCGTCACTATCATGGACCTTTCCTTGTAAAACCACTGACCACTTTTTATTAGAAGGATCTGTGACATAAAACACTTGTTTTGCTTGAGATGCCATGATGAATGGTTCGTTCGCATAAGCTAACTTGCTAAGATCAACCAGTGTAACTCCAAATTCATCGATTCTGACACCACTGTTGATATCAATCCATTTGCATTTAAATACAGGAACTTTAAACACAACATAATTAACTTCCCAAATCTCTTCAATCACCCCAAAGTACGGTGTAGATGCCATAACCGGGTTTTTATCTTTAGCACTAGAGAAGTGCATGGACTCGGCCACAATCATTACCCCACTATTTTGCGTGGTACTACGGTCATCCTTTGACTTTGTATAAAAAGAGGTTTTATTAATATCATATCAACTCCAAGTTATTAGGTTACATTTAGGCCCATAAGACAACCACTTAATTGTATTAGAAACACTATCTTCATTAGCAATTCTTTCTTTAAACCACTCAGTGAAACTCTTATTATGCTCTTTTAACAACCCTCTTTCATTCATCTTGGGGTACTTTTTCTTTACGATGCTTTTGTGAGCAGATAAGTAAGGTTGAACTTCATCTATGTTATTCAATATATACAAATGCGCTTGAACAACCACATCAATACTTAAGCTCTTGACTTTTAAACCTTGTGTACCCACACCCTCATATCTTCCATCATGACGAGACTTAGGAACCCCTACAACATCCACTTCTGACAAATAGTTAGAACAAAACTCAATTGCTTCTTCTGCAATGTACCTCTCAATAACCGATGCTTCCGGACGGTGTGGGTTTTTTGTATACCCTTTTAGAATCTTCATGTATCGCTCTATTGGATACATCCACCGTAAAAAAACTGGACCACATAATCTAATCTCCCTTACTAGATGAACAATCAAGTGAACCATAATGTCAAAAAATGAAGGAGGAAAATACATCTCTAATTGGCACAAGATAACTGCAGCCTCATTTTCCAAATCGTCTAACTTTAGTGGATCAATGGTTTTACAACAAATTGCATTGAAAAATAAGCATAACCTAGTTATGGTCTTCCTTACGTTGTTAGGCAATATCCCACGAATAGCCAATGGTAGTAGTTGTTGCATTAAGACATGACAGTCGTGAGATTTTAAGCCAACTAATTTAAAATCTTTAACTGATACAAGCCTCTTGACATTTGATGAGTAACCATGCGGCACTTTGATACTTTGTAAACACTCACAAAAACTTGTTTTCTCTTTTTTAGACAAAGTGTAGCAGGCAGGAGGCAAATATGTCTTGTTACCTATATATTGTGGGGTTAACTCTTCTCGTATACCCATCAAACCCAAATCCAGACGAGCATTAATACCATCTTTTGTCTTGCCTTGAATGTTGAGAAGTGTTCCGATTACACTATCGCATACATTTTTCTCCACATGCATCACATCAATATAATGTCTTACATCAAGACTAGACCAATATGGAAGATCGAAGAAAATCGATCTCTTTTTCCATACATTTTTCACAGTAGATCGTTTTTGGTACTTTCCAAAGATAACATCAAGTCCCTGTTGTCGCTGATAAACTTCCTCTCCAGACAAGGGCTTTGGAGCAACACCATGCTCTTGTTCCCCATTGAAAGCTTTCCGCAATCTACGATATGGATGATAACGTTTTAGAAATTTTCGATGCCCGAGATAAACGGTCTTCTTTCCTTTTTCAAGCTGATGGTAACAGGTGTCTTTTTCACATATAGGACATGCATTATGCCCTTTAACTTTATACCCAGACAAATTACCATATGCCGGAAAATCATTGATGGTGCAAAATAACATGGCACGCATATTGAACTGTTCGCCAGAATACGCATCAAAAACATCCACCCCTTCATCCCACAACACTCTTAAATCATCAATCAGTGGACTTAGATAAACGTCTATGTCATTTCCTGGTTGTTTTGGGCCCGATATCATCATCGATAACATAATATATTTACGCTTCATGCACAGCCTAGGAGATAGGTTGTAAATCATCAAGAGAACAGGCCAAGAACTATGGTTAGTACTCAGATTACCGAACGGATTCATTCCATCAGTAGCAAGTCCAAGTCTAAGGTTTCTCGACTCTTTGCCAAAATTTGGAAACAAAGAATCTATTTTCTTCCATTGCAAAGAATCAGCTACATGCCGAATTTGTCCATCATATTTTCTTTCTTCTGCATGCCATCTAAGATTCTTTGCGTCATCTTCATTGGCGAATAATCTCTTGAACCTTGAAATTATTGGTAGGTACCATACCACTTTTGCAGGAGGACCCTTTTTTACCACCTCATCATCAATTGACTCACCATCTTTCTTTTTGTAGCGTGAAGCCTTACACTTTGGACAATGATTATACTTTTCATACTCTTTTCTGTATAATATGCAATCATTAGGGCATGCGTGTATCTTTTCATACTCCAAACCCATTGGACACAATATTTTCTTCGCCTCGTAATAACGACTTGGCATTACATTACCTTCTGGAAGCATTTCGGTCAACAATTCAAGCAACTCGGTAAAACTTTTGTCAGTCCACCCATTCTTTGCCTTCAGATTAAATAATTTTAACACGGCTGACAGACGTGTAAATTTTTTGCATCCCGGGTACAATGGTTTATCCTTGTCATTGCATATAGTATCATACGTATGTGCCCTCTTAAACGAATCTTGTCCAATATCACGCATCATGTCTTCTAGATGATCATCCATTTCTACACTAACACCATCTCTTTGAGACACATTTGACTTTGCTACTACTTCACCGTGCCATATCCATTTTGTATAACTTTGACAAATCCCTACACAAATTAGATGATCCATGATATCTTTCTTACTACGTTTTGGTTCTTTATTTGCACAACGAATACATGGACAGAGAAAAAGCGTAGGAAGACTTTTGTCAGCATTACTTTCAGCAAACTGTAGAAATTCCATCACTCCATGTTCGTACTCGTCACTTAATCGATTAGCTCTCATCCAACTACGATCCATAACTATGTTCACACGGAGGAAGGTCTGACGAACGGTGTGTCCGCGGCTGTGCTACTTCACGGAGATTCCGAGATTGCAAGTTGCGCTGCTTCGCGGAGAAAGACAAATAGAATCAAATTTCAATGGCAAGGTGATAACTCTATTAAGTTTGATAGGTTAAAGATAAACAATGTGTTTCTGAGAGGACCATTAATTCTTTTGTCATAGGTTTCTAAATTTTCCGCTTCTTTTATTTGGTGAGCATAAAAATAGGAGAAAGGGATTCAAATATAATAGTATAATAATAGTAACAATAATGGAACAAAGTATAAAACACATGAGTAACAAAGTGTAATTTATATGAGGCCAATGATTAAACTATTTTTGGCCAATGATTAAAATATGAGGCCACTTTGTTATTTTCAATTTTATCTTTTCTTCTTCAATTTTAACTCCTTTGATGTTTTAATCGTATTATATATATTTTTTTATTTCTTGTTAGTAATAATTTTTAAATCAGTATATATAAACACTACACTAACACAAAGACACTCTCTTAAATTTTTTTCAAAACCTTGTCCATATGTTTTTCTCAAACCATTGTTCTTAACAAATAAAATATCCAATTATTTTGAAAAAACACATTTCTCATTTAACAATTTATTACTAATTGTTATTATTTTTACACTTTGCACCACTAATACATAACTGATTCTCACTGGTTTCCTTTTCTAATAATTTCAAAACGATCACCATATATTCAATTTTTGTCTCAGAACCTGTAAATACTTAATAATATAACAATCTTCATGTTTCACTCTTCACCATCATGATCATGAAATTTCACACTGCACAAACACTAACATACACCATATTTTCTTGAAACAAGTAGCTTGTTGCATTAGTTAAAGTTACTAAGTTTAGTATCTATAAACATGTATAACTTTATCTTAAGGAAGAACCATAGAAATTTAAACTATCGTATACTAGCCAACTGCATAATATTGATATGTAATGTAACATAGCGTAAATGCATAAAAATGCTGAAATTGTAATGAAAAAGAAAATGCAAAAAAAAAAAGAAATAGAATTAGAACGAACCCCAGAATGATTTGCAGAATGATTTGCAGAAGACGGGACCGATGAATCGGCGACGAGGAAGCAGTAGAATGGGTGTTGGAGGCGGTATGCGTCGCGGAAGTGGTGTTGGCGGCGACGGTGTAGGCAGCGACAACTATTTAAAATTGTTATCGCAAAATAAAAATTGATTAAAACATGAACAAACCCCCACAAGCAAGAATAACATATTAACATGATAATGACATTGAAACTTCAACCAAATTAAAATCAAGTGAACATATTATTGACGAACAAAAATCTCATTCAAATTTAAAACAAGCGAAAAAACAACCTCGCAACACGATCACAAGCACATTGACAAACCAAAACTCCATTATCAACTTCAAAATACCGATGTCAAACTATAATTATCATATCATCAAAGTTTATCTTTCGATTCCAAACCAAAAATCTCACAAATATATGAATAGAAATGAAATGTATGATCAGAAATGCAGCAAAACTTCCACTGTCAAACCAACAGAATATCAGCTATTCTCGCTCGAAAATATCAGACCCAAACAGCATATCTAACTTGTTTCCCAGAACAGAAACACAATTTAAACAAATTACTACACTGATGAAAGGAAATCGAGATTTACCGATAATGACGAAATCGCTGTGATGCAAAGGAGTTTGCGACTGAAATCGACGCGGCGAACTGAACTAAAATCGCTTTACTAGCTGAGATGTCACGAAGCAAATGAACAGTAGGCGGAGGAAAATGGGTCGGAATGGAAAATGGTAGGCGGAGGGATGAACGTCGCGGCGAAAAAGGGTCGAAAATGGGTCGGAAGAACGTCGCGACGAACTTGACCAGTAGGCGGCGAATCGTCGGCGAAAGCGACGTCGTGACAGTAGGCGGAGGAAAATGGGTCGAAAATGGGTCGGAAATGGGTCGGAAATGGCAAATGAATAGTTTTCGGGAATAAAGCGGCGAACTTGACCAGACAGTAGGCGGAGGGAATCGTCGGTGAAAATGGGTCAGAAATGGGTCGGAGTGGCAAATGAACAGTTTTCGGGAATAAAAGAAAATTCTGTTTAGAACTTTTTACATCGGTGGAATATTTGACCGATATAAGGGGAAGGCTTTTACATCGGTGGAAACTTCCACCGATTTAATAGGTTATTTTTTTTTTTTAAAATATTGCTTAGGCTATTACATCGGTGGAGACTCCCACCGATTTAATAGGTTTTTTTTATTTTTAAATAATGCTTAGGCTTTTACATCGGTGGAAACTTCCACCGATTTAATAGGTTTTTTTTTTTAAATAATGCTTAGGCTTTTACATCGGTGGAAACTTCCACCGATTTAATAGGTTTTTTTTTTTTAAATAATGCTTAGGCTATTACATCGGTGGAGACTCCCACCGATTTAATAGGTTTTTTTTTTTTTAAATATTGCTTAGGCTATTACATCGGTGGAGACTCCCACCGATTTAATAGGTTTTTTTTTTCCACGTTTTTATTCATTTTCAATATAATTTATATATTAATTCAAAGAATCACTTTTTACATCGGTTTGTCTTTAGACCGATGTAATAGCTTTCTTATATTTTTTTTAACTTTTTTGTCACCTTGTTTCTTATTTACAAAAATGCCACCGTGTTTTTTTTCTGGAAATCTTTTACATCGGTGGATGAGATTACTCGATGTAATAGGTGACGAAAAAAAAATTTTCCCTTATTTTTTATATCATTGGAAATAAATACCTGATGTAAAAAGTTTGTTAACTGTATTTTTTACATCACCTATTTTGATACCCGATGTAAAAACCTTTTCTCAAATGTCTTTTTTTTAGTAGTGAAACCATCAAAAGAATAAATTGTGAGAAGATAAATCGACAGGAGATACCTTGCGGACCGTTGTAACAGATACACCTCGGGTCACAAGAGTGTCTGCAATCCAACCACCAAAATTTGCAGAAATTGCCATCGTAAGCCATGGTACAACACAAAATAGTCCAGATTCTGTTAGATTGAACTTTAACACCTATTATATTTGAAAATACCTCTGGTTAAATTTAACAAAGTCATTTTCTTTTGAAGTATCCAATAAGATTGCAAATAAAAACATTTTGTGTATCTTGATGTTGGTTAAAACATGAGTCAAAATCTGAACTCTACTAGCTTCAGTCTTGACAGTGCTGAGTGAGAATTGAAGCTTGATGAATATAGGTATTTTTTCTTATGCATAGGTAAAGTTAACTTCATCATAGAAATAAATTCATGCACAAGAATGCAAAACATAAAAAGAAAAAAAATATGAAAATGAATCTAACTTTGCTAGCACCAAGTCGCTACGTAGCGAACATGCAAAGAAAAAAAGACTTACTAGGTTATAGTATGTTGGCATCCATGTAAGAAGAATGAAAGTTCCCCAATTATGGCAAAAGTGGCACACTATCAGGGCCCAGACTGGTGGTTTAGACAAAATTAATCTCCAAGGTATTTCCTTCACGGGTTCCTTGGACATACCGTTAGTAGCAATTAACTTCTTTTCTTATGGCAACATTTCAGGATCATCGAGTGGCGAACTATGCGCCTATAGCTCCCAAAATAACATGGAAAATTAGCATGTGAAACAATAAAATTTCTACTTAGATAGAGCGAACTTTTTGGAAACAAAAAACAATATGTTGGTACTTGGTAGTTAGAAAACTTATAATGAAGATATCGACTTCAAAACAAAAAGTATTTATATCGAGAAAATGTGTGTTGTGCATATATTTCCAAGTTCAGAAAGGATGCATTTATGCATGAGTAATATTACATATGTGAATTCTAACCTTATTAAGCCATATACAAAACCAAACAGTCCCTAGAGAACCAAAGGAGTAAAACACTGATGGCCATCCATACTGATGAATTAGGAAAGGTGAAAAGGCGAGTCCAGTGACTGATCCAAGGTACATACCACTAATGATCTACTTCTCTCTGCCACAGGAACCCATTTTGAAAGAATATTATTCATGGCCGGCATAGCAACCCCCTAGTAAGATCCAAAACAAGTTAGCTCCACATGGAAAAAAGCTATCATCCTATTGTAGCATCACCAACTATATGAATCAAATCATTACTAGAATTAGAGACAGTATGGAGTTCATAAATGAATGTTTCACTTTTATACTTTATTACAGTATATTTCCCTAGCCTAATTATGTTATATCTTTTTCCGCAACTACAATAAATAATCGAATGGAAACGTACACAAATTCCCTCTCCTAAAGGGTAAACTTGTAACTTGTAAGACAATATCAAATGTGAACAAATTTAATATCACTACTACAACCATTTTTAAACTCCTGTGATTTAGTCAATGGAGTTATATTTAGAGACGGAGGTAACAGATGACTTTTTTTGCCAACAAAATGGAACATTTAACTACACGCACCTCACCGACTCCCATGAATGCACGGGAAACTAGTAGGAAAGGCAACCCGAGTTTAGCAGCAACAGGAGTGAGGATTGTAGCGACGGACCACCAAATGACGCCGAATCCCAAAACCTGCTTCCCTCCCACTGTGTCAGCCCAAATTCCACCAGCAATCTGCAACAAGTATCTACCTATGCATCAGAGTCATGGCCTTAAGTTCAAACTTATACCAATAGAAAAATAGCTACTAATCAAAAGCACACGAAAACCAGACAAACACATACAAGATGAGGAAAAAAATGAAAACTGATACGAATTGCAGTTGGCCGGAGAAGTGGAGCACCGTAGAAGCTCTGGTTTAGGGTTTTTTCGTGAAGAAAATCTGACTGAGAATAGAAAAGTGATACGAATTGTGTTTTGATATTTATTATAAAACTACCTACGAAAGCGCTTTTAAAAGCGCTTTCTAAAGGTAATCTATAACAGCGATTTTACATCAAAAAGCGCTTTCGTAGCATATCCTATAGCAGCGCTTTTAAAAGCGCTTTCTAAAGGCCAGCTTTAGCAGCGCTTTGGAAAAGCGCTTTCTAAGGCTGACCTTTAGCAGCACTTTTGAAAAGCGCTTTCTTAAAGTACCCTCTGAAAGGCCAACTTTAGCAGCGCTTCCCAAAAAGCGCTTTCTAAGAGTGACCTTTAGAAGCGCTTTTGAAAAGCGCTTTCTTAAGACACCCTTTGAAAGCGCTTTTTTAAGTGAATTTTTTTTAAAACCAACAGCAGCGCTTTTTTCCAAAAGCGCTTTCTTTTATGTGCTGCTAAAACTTATTTTTGGCGTAGTGAATATTTTATTCAGAAATAGAGTCCATCCTCATTTTTTTAGAGAATTATGATTAATAATAAAAATTGATCTCTAATAAAACTAAAAAACTAACCTTAAATATTTATCATATAATAATTAATATATATATATATATATATATATATATATATATATATATATATATATATATATATATATATATATATATATATATATATATATATATATATATATATATATATATATATATATATATATATATATATATATATATATATATATATATATATATATATATATATATATATATATATATATTTGAACCACTTAAATTTATTTTACATCATATTTTCTATTATATGTGTTATTGTTGGGGGAGTTACTAGAAATATTAATACAAAGTTAATATTATGTACTTTTGTGAAATACACACCACTTATCCACCTAAAACCTTAAGGTGATAGGTGAGTGAGTTCTCCCACTTATAAATATTCAAGTTACCATATTCATATTCAATGTGGGACTATTTCCTCACTTACTCACACTTGCATTATTATTTTAACACTTCCCCGAAGTGTGAGTCCATAATGCTCCCCACAAGACATTTGTACCACTGTTTACACCTTACAACGAGACAACTCTTCTTAGACATTTCGATACAAGTAGGTCGGTCCCTTTCTTGAAACCAAAAGCTTGTGATACCATTTGTTGGGGGGAGTTACTATGAGCATTGATATAAAGTTGAGAATTATGCACATTTGTGAGAGACACACCACTTATCCACCTAAAATCTTAAGGTGATAGGTGAGTGGATTCTCCCACTTATAAATATTCAAGTCACCATATTCCTATCAAATATGGGACTATTTTCTCACTTACACACGTTGCATTATTATTCTAATAGTTATAATGTTCTTGATCGTGTTTTCAAGAATTTCATGTCAAAGATCTTGTTTCTAGGGCAAGTAAATCAACAGTTAGGAAAATGGCTGGTGATAAGGGAATTTCAAATTCTCTCCAATGCTTGACAAAAAAATTGGATTCGATGGAAAAAATAGATGCAATCCTTGTTTGGATTCCAAGACACCCTAGAAGTGGTTTCCGACGACAATCATGCGCTGGCTGCAGATACAATTGAAGCACAAAAAACTGCCCACAACGAAGTCAAGAAGAAAAATTGCAAGGCTGCTTATTGCATTCAGATAGAGGTCGATGCTGCTATCTTCGACAAATTATTTCATGCTGAAACAACAAAGGAGGCATGGGATATTATGGTCAAGTATTATGAGGAAGGTGAGAAAGTCAAGGTTGTCAAGTTGCAGACCTTACATCCACAATATGAATTGTTGTCATTGGGAGAAGACGAAAAAAGTTGGAGAATATGTGTCGAAGGTCCAGAAACTCGTCCATCTCTTTAAGGGTTGCGGTAAAACCCTAATTGATAAGATGATATATGGGAAGGTAATACGAACATTGAACTCTCACTTTGATCACTCAATCATCTAATTACTCAAGATATAGTAACTGGTATACCAAGTCTTGAGATGCCCGACAAACTCTGTGAAGGTTGTTTAGTCGGAAAGCAATCCATAAATTATTTTGTTTTGAAAATAGTAATGAGATCATCTTTCATACCCGAAGTGGTACATTTAGAGGTATGTTGTCCATTTGAAGAATACACCATTGGTGGAAACACATATTTTGTTTCGTTTGTCAATGAGTTTAGTCGAAAGTTGTGGATCTATGTGATCAAGCGAAAGAAGAAGTATTTTAAATCTTCAAGAGATTCAAGATACTTGTCAAAAACCAGAGTGAGAAGTGTGAGGAAAAAGTTCCTCTATAAGCATTTTAATAATGTCAAAATGATTATTAATCTCTCTCTCCATTTGGGTTGGTCCTATGAACAATCTTGCAATGGAATGATTGAAATGAAGATCTCCAGAAACACTTATTTTTGAGAAAACTCAATATGTGCGTCGATTCCAAGATATGTGCGGTCGACTCATCATCTTCAATCAAGCCCTGGATGTGTCAGGTCGACCCTTCTGGTCGACTCAAACTGAAAATCAAAATATTAAACTATTGAGTCGATGCAAGCCTTGTAGCGGTCGATGCACTGCACTTCATAATAGATTTCTCTCTGAATGTTGGATGTGTCACGTTGACCCTTCCGATCTACTCAACTTGGGATTAAAAATATTCAAATTTTGTGTCAGCGCAAGTCCTAAAGCGGTCGATGCATTGCACTTCAAAACAGTTTTTTCTCTGTCTGCGGGTTGTGTCGCGCCGACCCCTATTTCTAGTTGAGTCGATCGCTCGCTGGCCTCATCTAATTTTTTGCTATGATTATGGGTCTTGGCTATTAGGTAACATATATATATATATATATATATATATATATATATATATATATATATATATATATATATATATATATATTAATTATGCGTCCTTATTTGAAGTCAACAAGAACTAGTGAAAGATACACATAGTGCTCAACATCTTCATCCTCTCTTCTCAAAAATCAACATCTACACATAATCATGGTTGCTGATTCAAGAAAATTGGTGTGGTGATAACGTTCAAATCAAGGATTCAATTCAGATTTGGGTTGAGCAATTGTGGGCTGTTATTGAATAAAATCATTTGGATTTTCTCCTCCAAGATTCCTATTGGTGCGGGGGTTTTTGCACAAGTCATTGCTTCAATGAATTCAACCGAGTGAAAGGATTAAGAAACAGTGGGTTTGCTTAATCAAGTAGCGGTAACCGAAGGATTGTGAAGATTGATTTGGGGTCAAATTGCTTGCGATCGAAATCAGCCGAGTGAAAGGATTAAGAAACAGTGGGTTTGCTTAATCAAGTAGCAGTAACTGGAGGTTTGTTCGAAGAATTTAGCAGTTGGTTTTGCTCAAACCAAGGAAAGGGAAGAAGACTGTTACATCAGCAACATTGGTTTGTTTGTATTGCGAACTATCTCTTCTCTTGTATCATTTCCAACTTAATATCAAATATATCAATTCTAGATTCTAGAATTAGGGGAAGACGTACCCTACGCGAGGACGACAAGAGGATCTGTCTTAACAAATCGTGTGTTCTTATGATTTTTCTTTATCTCTATACTTGATTAATATACTGTGTAAAAATTAATTTGTCAAATCTGCATATATTGAAATTGTAGTGTGTTGAGTTCATTTCAAAACATTGGTAACAATCCTTTTGATTGATACCTAAGAAAACTCACCACTACAATTTAGTAAAATCAAACCTAAGGTGCTTTGCTA